GTACATGAGTGTTTGCTTAAAGAGGTTTGTGCAGTGTCCACAGAGGCCAAAGAAGGGTCTAAAAGCCCCTAACAATAAAGTCAGATACCATTGTTGCTGCAAAGTGTGTACTGGGAATTGAACCTAGCCCCTCTGCAAGAGAAACCAGTGTTCTTAACTCCTGAGTCGTATCTACTGAGCTAGAAGTCATACCTTTAATAAACTTTAATCTGATTGATCATAAATATTAAATACATTGATAAAGCATTAAATAATTTGAAAACTTTTATTTATTTATTCATTCATTCATTCATTCATTTACTTATAATTCTTTTTTTTTTTTTTACAGTCCAGTCATTATCCCCCTCTGGGTCTGTCCTCAGACTGTTCCTTATCCCATTCCTCCTCCCTTGTCTCCAAGAGGATGTCCCCACACCCACCAATCCCACCAGACACCAACCACACCAGACACCCACCTCACCAGACCTTCCTACTCCTTGGGTCCTCAAGTCTCTTGAGGGTTAGATGTGTCTTCTCTCACGAAGGCCAACATTTTCACATACTTCAAAACTATTGCTTTAAGGCAAAATCATTCCCAAATCATTTTATTTAGCTATAAAAAAGGAATGAGGAGAAAAAAATCTCTAAAAATGAGACATTTTGAGGCTGGAGAGATGGATCAGCATTAAAGACTGGTTCCTGCTATTGCAGAGGAACAGAGTTCAATTCCCAATAATCATGGTCATTAACCCAGCGCCACTGCAATCCCCTTCCAGATATGCTACACTCTATTCTGACCTCCATAAGTACCTGTATACATATCTTCATATACACAGACTTAAACACATATCTGTATAGTGTCAACAGTTCATGTGTGGATACACAGCCAATATCAAATAGCTGAAGTCAATAGTAAAACATAAATGATCAATAACCAAAAAAATAAGCACAAACAAAGTCCATCAGTGACTTTTCTTGGAAAATCACACACACACACACACACACACACACACACTACATTTCCCATTCATGTATCAGTGGCTATCTCTAGCCAATAGGAAGCTTTTACTGAGTTAGCAAATGCACTATGGGACATTTGTGTCATTTCGTACTACAAAGATAGATCATGGCATTCACTGGCAGAAAGAAGTTATGCGACTGACAAGAACTGCATAGAGCACACATCACTGTCTATCTTACAGGGTAGAAGGGTAGCATGACTCACACCGCTTCTAGGCAGTTATTGTTTGAACAGTTCATCAGAGATTTGTTAAGGGCTAAGACTGGAAGATAAAAGATTTGGTAAGGATGTCTGAGGAAAGGGGATGTGGATTGATCTCTCAGAGGTCTTTGCTTCTCGTGGTCATACCTACCAGAGTGCAACTACCAAAGATAGGCCACTTTACAATAAGATGATCCATACAAAAGAATGAAATGAGACCCATGGCTATCACGTTGCATAAGATTAAGGCCAAACCTATCAAATAATTTGAGTGGAACCTGAAATGATGACCTGCTGTGTGGGACGTGCGTGTAATCGTCTCGCCAGCAAGAACGCACGCGCGGACACACATCAGGATCCTTCCGTAGGAACACGTTTATTCCCAAAAACAAAATGGTGGAAGACCCCCAGGCCCGGGAAAGCACTGCTTATATACCCTTAGAGCGGTGTATTCACTTCTGATTGGCTGCTTACTCGTTGCGCGCCAAAACGCCGTGGGATGGGCTTTAACTTTGGCGGGCTTTTACCATGACACATGCGCAATTTACTTGTTTACTAGGAAGAATCCTGGTCGCCATCGCCATCTTGCAATGGCGGATTCTGCCAGCGCAAACGCGGCTTCCTACACTGCTGGAAGTAAAATGAGGTGGTACCGACCCTATGGGAGTGCAGGAGAGGACTTTCTGAACAGAACTCTACTTGCCCAGAAATTAAGGCCATCAATTGGCAAGTGGGACTTAATGAAACTAAAAATCTGCACAGCTAAAGAAATAATCAAGCTAAAAATAGACTCATTGAGTAGGACATAAACTTTTCCAGCTATACATCTGATGTGGATTAGTATCCAAAATATTAAAAAAAAAATCAAGCAAGTAACAGACTCAATTAGAAAACAGACTGTTGCTCTGAATGGACAATTCTCAAAAGAAATAAAAATATCTAAGGAATATCTCATAAAACATTCATCATTGTGAGCAGTGAAAGAAATGAAAATTAAAACAACTCTGAAATTGAATCTCACCCCAGTCACAATGGCAAGGGGGAAAAAAACCTATAACATATGATTGAGAGGATATGCAGAAAAAGGGATCTCTCATTCTCTGGTAGCATAATTACAACTGGTATAGCCAGTCTGGAAATCAGTGTGGAGAACTCTCCAAAAGCTAAAATTAAATCCATCACGTATTTCAACTGTACAACTTCTCAGCACGTGGACTGAGGAACTTGACCTACTACTCAACAGACACTTGTACAAACAAACATATTAATTATCTTTTTCCCTATCACAATAAAAAAATTGGAACAACCTAAATGTCCTTTAACTAGTGAATGTATAATGAAAATGTACTATACATACATGATGGAATAGTATGCAACTGTAAAGAAAAAGATGAGATTTGACATTGACAGGCAAATAGAGTGAATGATGTAAATATGTTCAGACTTTGAGAAACATAACCTGAAAATAGTCACGGACATAATTTAAAATTTAGTATGTATAAAAAATCTTTCTACAAATACACCAATAAACAAAATGGGATGATAACTATTCTGATTGGTTCTCTTTCCTTTACAAAGTATGGCAGAGGTCAGACATATTTTCCAAACACGATCTAACTCGTGATTGGAAAATAAAAAATGGACAATTTCATTTTAGTGCAGCCTATCATACGGCCCTTGACAGATCATGTATTGATTACAGCTTAAAGCAATAAAGAACTGCGAATTTAAAAGAAGAGAAAAGAAAAGAAACAGTAATGTAGGATATCACCAGGTTATCTTCCTAGTGTGTTAAATTGTGCCTTATTAGCTCATATCTATGGATTCTTTTCTCTTTAACTTAACATTCTAGGCTGCCTTGGTTCCAGTCAAATTTATCATCCTCCACTCAAAACCCTCTTGCATCATGGTTGCTAAGCTTCTGTTTCCATATAGCAACCAAGTGTAATTATGTCATTCCTGTAGTCCAGTTTCTCTGAGATCCATTCATAGTTATCAACATTTTTCTCAGACGTTAGGCAAATAGCTTCAGAAAATAGGCACACAAATACAGTAAGGTACTCGTGGTTTAGAAGTACTATAGTTTAGAAGGTGTAGTTTAGAAGGTATGCCATTGTCTTTACAAAGAAAGAACAGCCCACGGGGTATATTAAAGTTTGCACCAAATACAAAAGTGTATCCTTCATAGTAGCAAAGCCTCCAAAGTTGCACCATTGCATTGGTTGCATGCAATAAGCAGCATTCATCTGTCATTTCAAATTCAAGCACCTCCCCTGACTTCTCTCTATGATGTACTGTAGCCTGTAAGGCGAGAAGGCCCTTTCTTCCTGAGGTTGGCTTTGTTCATTGTTTTTTATCACAGCAACAAAAACAAAACTGAATATGTTTTATTTACTTAAATAAACTAAACTAGACATGTTGTAGTAATTAATTAAGATCGGCCACTTGTTAATCTGACTATCTAACCTGCAGCAGCTCTGCCTAGCCCAGCTGCCATGTTTCTCGGCCTAAGGCCATGTGCGTGCTGCACCTAGAACCTGCTTGCCAGAAACACCAGCCCCATCACCCACTAGACGCCAGCATGAGAGATGGCTCTGCCAATCTTTCACACTGTCTCCGAAAGGCAGGGCATTGCCCAGATCATTCCGTCATCCATGCGGGCCAAGTAAAAGAATGAGACTCTAATTCTTATAGATTAATCAAAGGCTTTATATGTTTGATAATGATTAATAACAAGATGCCCATACAAAGAGAGTTGTATCTCAATTAGCTAACTTAATTATAAGTTTATAAGTTGTTCCCCACGAGTGCTCTCCATACCTGTGTGGTTTTCCACCCTCCTACATCTCTGCCCTCTCTAGCTCCTCCTCTTCTTTTTTTCTCTTCCTCTCTCAATTCCTCCTCTTCCTCTCCTTACTCCTCCCACCTTAGCTCCTCCTACACAGACAACCTTTTACTTATAAATGATCTTAATGCTATTCATGAAATTCTCTGTGAGCAACATCCTCAACAAAGGCAACCTGGCAAGTCTGTGAGAATGTTTCCCAGGAGGCCTCACTGAGTAGGGCAGACCCATCGTGAATGACTGGTGTCCCAGGCTCAATAAAAAGAAAAAGAGGAAGTCAAGGGAGAATCAGTGTTCATCATCTTGATTGGTGATGCAGTGTGACCAGGTACCTCACTCCCTGCCGTCATGATTTCTCTGAATGATACACTGTATCCCTTCAGATTGAAAGCCAGCAAAACAATTCCTCTGATAACTTGAAATTGTTACATATTTTGTATATTTTACTGATATAAGAATAGTACCTAATTCATACAACACAACTATTTCATTATGTCATTCAATGTAAAACATTTATTCTTGGACAGGTAATCTAACGTATCCAGCCGTAAATCATGTTTTAAGGTTAAAACCTGTTAAATATCATGACATCGAGCTCATGTTCAACAGTATATTAGCTGTTTGAATATCTGTTTGTTTTACTCAAAACAGTAACAAAATATAAGATCGAGTCACACACTTTACAATAGCACTTTAATAAGGCAGCATGTGCAGAGCTTTCTCAACGAGGCATGGGGTTCAGCTGTCCACTTTTACACTGGAGTGAGTGTTTTCTTGTACAAGTGAAAGTTTGTGTGGGAAACAATGTGAACCAAATACAACTCAAAGAACACATTATAAATTTTAAGATAAAGCCATGACTAATTTTTTTCTCATTTCACAGTTCAAAAAAATTCTGTCTTTTTAATTGTATAAATCATAAGCTTAATTGCCATTTAAGTATTTGAAACTCTTTGATGGATCAATTCCACAGGATTATATGTCTACTAAACAGATTTCCTTCTCTTTCCAAATACATTATTGATCAGTTTGGCCATTGATTTAGACCCACTGGGTCTTCTCTTCTCCTTATGTTTGAAGATCATCAGAATGTCTTTGATGAGTCTGAGAAACATCACCTCAACCTCCAAGGGCTGCTCTGCTGCAGACAGCTCGCAGAATTGGCAGCGGAAATCAATCGCTAGCTTTTGCCCTTCATCCCAGCCAACCTCTCGCATGTGGCAGAGGTCTTGCTTGTTGCCAACTAAAACCACAGCTGGTTCCACCACCCTGAAACACAACGGGTAACTTTTTCAAGATGAAGTCAACCACTGTAAAAATAAGGTAAGTTTATATCCAAAGGTCAAAAAGTTAAAAGTAAGTCCTAGTAGATATTATATTTAGGGTCACAGCCATTATGTTTTAGAGACACATCCTCATTGCTACAAAGCCATTTTCCCCAGAATGAAATAAATACCAAAAATAATGCTCTCAATGATTTAGAGTTTGGAGTAGCACTGAAGTATTCTTTATTTGGAGATAGATACAATAACCTCGAATGGCTATAATATTCCCCTGTTTTCCACTCTATATGTTAAGCTAACTAGGAAAATAGTCCCCACCACAGAACCATGAGATTCTACCTCATTGAAGGCCCATAAACATGGAGATATGTGGCAAGGACTGGCCACCTGAAACCCAGAGCCAATATAAATCCATCATTCTATATATATTTTTTTCTTTTGGGAACTGTATAACACCTATAGAAATGTAAATAATTCTGTTGCCATTTACAGGAGCTATGATGTCACATGTACACATGTGACAATGTACAGTAATAAATTCTAAAGCATTAAGGTCCACTGAACCATGCCAATATTTTAGACTTTATGTGTAACCTACATGACTCCTCACACCAGCATTTGAACAGAAATGAATACTTCAATGAGAAATGCCCAATAAAAATAGAGGAGATTAAACTAAGGATCTCAAACACCTAAGTGGTTACTAGATCAACAACTCTCTAAATATAGTCATCTTCCTTCACTGTCTGTGCACCAAGGAGGCTTACAGTGAATTATTGACCACATTTTTATCACCACGTGGTAGAGGGGAGTGGAGAAAAACATATCCACACCCTTAACATTTTTGTATGGTTAACTATTAATTCTGCTTCTGCTGTGACATCCTGTGCAACCTAGTGACAAGAAATTGGATTTCACAAGATACCAAACATAATAAATCTGGATTTATTTAGGATCCTTAACATTTTTGTGAAGAGAAAAGGAAAGGTGGAGGCATGGAGGAGACGCTGTGCAGAACACCATGATTCTGCTCATGAGTGTCATGTTAACAATAGCAGCTGTCTTGTAAAATAGCCATTTACTCTGAGCTAGTAACTGTTTATGTCAGCCAGGGTATAAAGCATTCTCATCTGATTCCTTTTACTACGTGTGTAACTCCTGTGGAATGAGAAGGTGAATTGTTCAGGGCTGTTAAATTTTGTAATTGGAAGTCTGTATTGAATCCTTCCTAATGATGCCCTCAGCAAGGTGATGATTTAGTGAAAAGGGAAGAAGATGGGAAGGAAATGTCTTACCTTTTACAATGAGTCGTCGGTGGCTCCCGAATTCTGTAGATAAGGGCCTTCGCAAAAGCAAAGGAAGGCCTGTTGCTGATGTCGTACACAATCACAAAGCCATCTGCCCAGTGCAGCTCACTTGTGAGGGAGCATTTTGCTTTCTGAGGCTGTAAAAGAACAAAATGCACCAAGTGTAGCGATCACACAACAGAATTCTTTGCTTCACTTAATGATTACCCATTTCAATAAGGCCAAGGAACAATAATTTCTAAGATGTGCTTTTATTATTCCTCTGTTTCTTTCTCATCACTGTCTATATTAAACACACACACACACATACATAGTTATTTGAATTTCAGTTTACAACTTTTCTTAAGAATTTGATATGATGTCTTTTAAAGAAATTTCATACACTGGTCTTCAGAAAATGGCATCTGTGTTAATGAGTATCTATTTCTCTCTTCTCTGTGTCTCTCTCTCTCTGTCTCTCTCTCTCTTTCTCTCTCTGTCTCTCTCTCTCTCTCTCTCTCTCTCTCTCTCTCTGTCTGTCTTTCTGTGTGTGTGTGCGTGTGTGTGTGTGTGTGTGTGTGTGTATTTGAATGTGTGTGTGTATCTTCAAGTGTGAGTGTTATCTCATCTTTGGCATGGCAAACAAGTAAAGGTCAGAGAACAACCTCAATTATTAGTGAACTCCTCCCACGTTGTCTGAGACAGAGCTTTTGTTACGGTAATAGGCTGGATGGCACAGAAACTTCCTGTCTCCTTCCATCACAGGATAGGAGTGCTGGAATTGCACATACTTGCTGTAATGCCTAGCTCTGAGTAGGCTCTAGGAGTCCAAACTAGGGTCCTAATGATTGCACGGCAAGCTCTTTACCCACTGAGTCATCTCCCAAAACAAGAACAACTATTTCTCTTTTAATAGTAGATTCAAACATATGAAAGGGAAAGTTTTACAAAGTTTATCTAAAAATGTTCACAGGATAATTTACGGTTCAATGTCTAAAACAAATCAATAGCAAGAACGTGCTTTGAAATCTTAGAAAGCTGGAGATTTCTTCCCGTTTTTATAATTCTATTTTGATATTTTAGGGTATTGACATATAATGACATTTATACTCAAAATCTGTATTATTGATGCTCTAGTTGAAGCCTAGTTACAAACACAGACAATTTAATGGCAACTGACAAGTCATCCCACCTTAATTTCCAGCAGCTACACCATGAGCACAGTTACTTTAGAGACTCTTGTTAGGGGGATAGAGAGATGGCTCCATGGCCAAGAGCACCTACTGCTCATGCAGAGGCCTCAGGTTCAGTTTCTAACACCCACATGGCACTGACAACCGTACATAATTCTAGTTCCAGGTTACATATGCCTTATTCTTACCTCTGTAGACACATCATGCTCAACACACACAAGCAAGACACTCATACATATCATACCAAATCTTAATGTTTCTGTTAGGAATATTTTCTGGGCTCACATGTAGTTCATTAGAGACATTAAAGATATTCTTACCATGCTGACATTTAATGGAAATTTATACAGAATCGCTATAATACAATTTACACTAAAAGAAATGTCAACACTTTAATAATCAATTGAGAAGAAACGTTATTTTGGGGTTGACATTATTTTACATTTTATACCCACTCTTCTTCAGGTCATGCTTGAAAATAAAACAAAGGGGTATTTTGTTTGACTTACTTGAGAACATGGGTCATATATTTCCAGATTTAATGGTTTCCCTTCCAAACACAAGTGTTTATTATAGATAGATTCTGCAAAAATATATGTACTCATTGTTAGTATGGGAAAACTTTGGAATAAACATTCTTATGTGACTAATTTGGTCTGCCAAATTCAACAAACCGTATTTTAAGGCTATTTTTACTAAAAATACTAGTGTGTGTGTGTGTGTGTGTGTGTGTGTGTGTGTGTGTCTGTGTGTCTGTGTGTCTGTGTCTGTGTCTGTGTCTGTGTCTGTGTGAGAGCAGTTTGCCTACATGGATTGTATGTGTACCTGGTACCCCCAGAGGCCAAAGAGGATATTGGATCCCTTGGAACCCACATTACAGATGGTTCTGACCTGCCATGTGGGTGCTAGACTAAACCTGGATCTTCTGCAATAGTAGCAAGTGCCTTTAACTGCTGAGCCATCTGTCCAGTTCTATAACAGTCACATTTTAATGTTAGAGTAGAGTGTACATGATCAGAGCTGGTGAGGAAACCATGTATATCTTGTACTGACCACTGAACTTGGTTGTGTCTATTCATTTGCATAACTTTATATAGGGTAACATAGATGTTCTTCCACAAGGCTAATTTATAGCCTCTCAATGCATTAAAAATTTCTCTCACCCATGGACAACATATCATCAGTAAATCTGTTATGTGCACTCTACCATGAATTTCTTTTCTACTTATTACATTTACTGATTGATCAATGAGTGCATGTTTGTATTTGTGTGTGCATGTGTGCGTGCATGTGTGCGTGCATGTGTGTGTGTGTGTGTGTGTGTGTGTGTTGTGTGTGTGAGTGTATGTGAAACTGTGAGGAGGTGTGAAGACAAATTCCTCCCACAACATGTATTTGGGGAGAACCTCAGATCTTTAGGCTTGGCATAAACCACTTTAGACACTGAGCCATCTTGCTTTTCAGTACTCATGACCAGCATCTTATAAACATGCAGAAATGGTTCTAAGTTCAATATGTTTAGACTGACCCTTGATCTTGTAAGCCCTGTTAGTTGTACTGCTGTATGCAGTCACGGATGCAATCTCAAGTTTTTCTTCATATGGTCTTCATTCCACACGTTCTATTTCTGCTTTACTTTTGTTTATTTACTGTCATGTTCTATTAGTGCTTTCTGAAACTCGTGCCCGTCGTCTCCTTACACTCTACATTTGGATCTGGTTCACATTCACTGTCATGTAATACTTTGTGGGTTCTGGAGTCCTGTGTACTACACACCAATCACCTCGGCATGTATTCGCAGTGCAGACCTCTTCCACAAACTCCAGATAACTGCTTGCATTTGGCAATATTCACTTGAGTAACTGACAAATGTATTAACCTGATTATGTGAAATGCCAAACTTCTGTACTCCCTAAAAAAAAATCTATCTCACAGATCCCACATTTATGTCTTTTAAAAAACAATATATACCTTATTAGTGCTTTTTTTCTGGTTTGTTTTGTTTATTTTTGTAGCACTTATTATCAAAAATGACATAATGAATGACAATTTTTAGCTTGGATTGTCAAACCCTTCTTCCACATCACAGATTCTATGAGGAATTGAACATCGATCCCTTTGTTCTTTGACACGCCCTATTGATGTATAAAAGTATATGGACTCGGAGTGGGTATTCAGTGAACATTATTTGAATAAACAAACTATTTCTATAACTGTTCCTCCAGCTCTATTCCTCTACAAATCAACACACTCTTACACAAAAACATGACTCACTCACATTGACTACTATTCTGTAGCCCATAATAAGAAGGAATGGAGAAGCCTAGAGTGATGGCTCAGTGGTTTGAAGTGCTTACTGCTTTTGCAGAAGACCTTGGTTCAATTCTCAGCACTCAGAAGCTGGCAGCTGCCCATGACTTCAGGTCCCTAAGAACTGAAATCTTCCATGAACTCCAGATAACTGCTTGCTTTTGGCAATATTCACTTAAGTAACTGACAAACACATTAACCTCATTATGTGAGATGCCAAACTTCCGTTCTCCCTGCAAAATCTGTCTCATAGATCCCAATCTATTCAGTGATATACGTCTCATTCTGATGTAAAGCCTTGAGGTCCCACTTCTGACCACCCTGGGCATCTGTGTGCACATGGTACACATGCAGGCACTCGGGAACATGTATATTCATATAAAAAAAGAAAAGAAACCAGCAAATCTCTGTTACAAAAGAAGCAGGTGTTTGCTGAACAAATGTTTCCTCAGAAGATGAAGACGACTTTTAAAGTCTTCCCAGGAATAACATTTGTCCCAGTTTGCACAAACATCAGACTTCGTTTACAGAATGTTTATCTTGTCTTTTTTTCTCCCCTAAACATCCCACGTTTACTGTTTGCCTTGAATCATAAACTCCCCCAGACAGTTTAAAAACACTTTGTCTCAAATCTCCCAGCATTGGCAGAGGCTGTCATCTCTAACTGTTTTATAGTGTTTTAATTTCTCCTTCTCCTTTCTTGACAAGATGAAGTTGCTTCCGTGAGCTTGTTTCCATAGAGTTAGTGACCTTTGGGTCACATGCTTATCTTTTCAAAATGTCCTCAGGTCTTATATTATGCACAGAGATGTCACAGCTGAGAATGTGTAAACATTTCATTTGTTTATAGAACTGCACGGTAGAAAAGATTAAGGTGAAGGTTTCATTGTTGTCCGTCCTCCTAAGGAGACTGCTTTATCTTGTTTGTATTTAGTTTCTATCCTGTTCAGGGAAAGCTTTCTTATCCAGGCCTCTTGGCTTGTGTGTTATCTTGACCCCTGTGCCTAAGATTTTTTACTCCTCGAAATGAAACACTAGAAATTTCTTTTTTCTCGTGGTCTTCTTTCTGTAAGCAGTTTTCAAACACTTGTCTTAAAATGTTCACAGTGTCAACTGCATAGAAACACTATACTGTACACAGAGAGAGAGAGCCGCATGACAGAAATCTTTAAAATCATTTCGGCAATATGCTGATTATGCCCTCTTGTGAAGAAATGTTTTCTTCGATTCACATAGAAAAACAATTATTAACTCTCTGGCACTAAATAAGCAATATTGAACAAAAATGACTGCCTTATATTTCATTGGATTCTGCTATTGTTGATGTAAGAGATGAAAAGAAAAAAACATTTAAACCTCAAGCCTTTCATCAGAAAAAATACGAAATTTATTATTTTGATCAATCTCTGAACAAAAACTATACTCAAAGGTATAACAAAACTCTTCAATTCTGTGCTGTGGTATTCCCTATATTCAATGCCAATTTTTATTAAAAAAAATGAAGTTGCATTATATTTAATAAAATGACCTTAGAATTATACTAAGGTGCCTTGGCATCTTCTGTAGAATTTCTCTGAAATTTATTGACGCAGCCTAGACATTATGATGTTTAATTAATTTATCATTCTGTTGTTATTACACAGTTTTACAAGCTTCATTTTATAGTTGTTTGTGCTGTGAATATTAATGTCTTTATCTTTTAACAGATGTTAATTAGCAAAATCTTTTCATACTTCGCAAGAAAAACAGGCCTGTGCTTCGCAGTATTTCCAAAAGAGAACCACAACTTCACTGCGTTCTAGTCTTACACTTGAGACATCTTTTATTTTCTACTTCATTACTATATCAGGTAATTTTGAAGACAAAACCCTTAAACTACAATTTTAAAAACCTTCAATTCATATCAAACCTATTTTAGAATTTAAAATTAGAATCTTTGAATTAAAACATTTTAGTGAATGTAAAAAAAAAATAACAATTCTGCCAAAACTCTCCTTTGATTTTAACTGGGTTTAAAATGTTTATGCTGACATGTTAAGATAAATAGAAGTGTATAGCAGTAACTTACCAAAATTAGAATCATATTCTCCAATGAACCGCTTGGTAAGAAACCTTACTGTAAGAGCTGTTAAATGAATAAGCAGGATTTAAGGTTTATTGCATTTTAGAATACTGATAATTCAGTTAGATACAGAATCTTGATTTTTTTTCACTCGATAATCAACAAGTCTTTGGTAGGAGCTTAAAACTTTACTAAATTCTGCTCTAAAAGTTGAGGTGATAGAATGGTGATTCTGTAGACAGAAACATGCGATCTTACATGCTACATATGTAAATTGTTATGAAATTCATTAACAGATGCAACACACGTAAAACACCTTAGCTTCTCAACCACAAATATATTCCTCATTATATTTGAAGTCCAAAGCTCTTGCAACACTTATTTTCCTTATTAATTAAATCCGGTTCTGAGGTTCTGTGTGGAGGAAGGATGGCAGCAAGTGTCCAGCTCGTGCAGTTGTTAACAAATACAGTGGATTATTACCCAGGAACCAGGGGGAGACTCCAACAGCTTGTTGTCTTACCACAGCATGAATCTGCTAGTTATTCAGCCCTTGTTGTTAGACTGAGGTCATTGCTTAGTGAAAATCTTTCTACCATTAGATTGTGCTGCAGAATAAAATAAAGCAATATGCAATAGTAACTTCTAGAATTAGTGCCTTTGTGCTAGGCTCCAGAATGCCCATAAAGCAGTATCTCTACAGAGCCATGGCCCTTTAGTGGTGCTGCCTATAAACTCCACGCTCCGTTCACCTCTGCCCACCTTACCCTTACAAGAGAAAAGTCCTTTCAAAACAACTGACCACTGACTGACTTGTGGACAAGTGTGCTTGAAGAAGTCACAATTGGGAGAGTCCTGGAAGGGTTTCTTGCTAGTCTTTAGAGTGTTAAACATCAGAAGAGCAAGATACAGATTCATATTTCAGGCGATCACACTGTCCTACCTCCTTTAAAAGTTCGTGAATAATAACCTGCCCAGAAGATTGAAAATGCATGCAGAAAATTCATATGCAAATTATCTCACAGTGACCTCATTGTTACTGGTACTGGTTGTGCATTATACGGCTATTATTGACTCTTGCATTTTGTGTCTACTCACCTTCTAATCATGCTAGCAAACAAAACACCACTCACCTGACTTCCCTGTCCCTTTGTCACCCAAGACAGCAAGCTTGACATCACCCATCTTGAGTAGCTTGTTCAGTTTTGGAACTCTGCAGACTAGAGCTAAGCATATGTTGTTGAGTTTTCTTTTTTTGAACTTGCCTTTTATGGCTGTCCTTGTTCTTCCAACGGCAACTTCACCATATATTCCTACCATCTAATAATAACTTGAAAATGTTTCCTTTTGGTACATTTCAACTGATAGTCTAAAAATTAGACTAATATTTCTACACTGAGATTTATGAAGTGAGCGTTTATGTATTTTTAACAGAAGTCCCACTCGTGATCCTCTGGAGAATCAAGAAGAACATGTCTTATTTTTATTTAGAAAGATTCTAGAGGGTGTGTAAATAGTCCTATAAATGTACTCTTATGGGTAGTTTTATCTTTTTATATGTTTACTTCAGTATTTTATATATGTAAACCAAGGTGTTTTGCTCAAAGTCACCCCCAGTCCCTTCCAGTCAACTCTTCCCAGATGACCTCCACCAGATCTCCTTTCTTGCTTTATGCACTTTAAAAAAGAACTGTGTTTAATTTGTATTGGTAGTATGTGCATGGGTATAGCGCCATCAGTTAGAGCATGGACAAGCTCTCTAGACTCCTTCCCCAGTTCTCTAGTCTCCAATACCTTTCTACTACTAATGGGGCTTCATAATCCCTCATCCACAATGAGGTTTTGAATGACTTAATTTTGTGTAGGTCTTGTGTATCCAGTCAAACTGCTGTGAGGTCATGTGTTGAATGAGCCTGTCAGGTTCAGAAAACACTATTCCCCATAGTCTTCTGCAACCTCTAGCTCTAATAATATTTATACGCCTCCTATATGATGACCTCTGAGTCTTGAGAGGAGAAGCATGATGTAAATGGTGAGCATTAAGGGCTGAGCCCTCCACAGAATCTTATGCCTTGAGTTTGACCAACTGTGAGTCTCATTGTTGAAGCATATCTATTAAAAAGCAAAGCTTCTCTGTTTAGGATGGAGAGTTATACTCAAACATCAGTATGGAGTAGTCTAATTTATTAATACTTGGACCATTTCATCTTTGTTCTCCCTTTGTAAATGACAATGGTAGTCTCAACCATTAAAAGTAAAGACCAGTGAAGAGAAAGTAAACTTAAGATATCTGAGTCTAGGTTAATGGCGGTGGAAAGGAATACTTAGATAATGAATTCTAATCATAGGTGGTTCTCAGACAGAAAACCATTTATACCACCTTGTAACTTTCTAAAGCCATCTGAAAAGAGTGGTTTTTCATTTAAAAAAATACAAAATGCATAGCGAATCTAGTGATTATTAGAAAAGTGATAGACAGAATCTGTCTCATGTCTTTCCATGCTACTTTGGAAATAGAAAAATATTTCAAAAGAAAAACAAACTGGAGGTGTCGTTTGGTGAAATTCACTGTGGCTGTGCTGTGTGAGGGAGCTCTAAGATGATAGATGATGACCATTCTTGTCGCCTTGACAGTTCCTGGGTGAAGGTAAGTCTTCACTGTAAACTTGACAGGATTCAGAATCACCATGGAAACACGCCTTCATAAGGGTGTTGCCATAAATATTTAGCTGAGAAGACAAGCCCCACCCTGAATGTGTCGGCATCATGAGCTGACATTCAGGGACAAATTTTAAAAAACGTGACCTGAGCACCAGCGTTCATCTTTCTCTGCTTCCTCACTGTGAGTGGGAGGCGTCAGGCTACAGGGAACTTCCTTGTCACATGGACTGGACCCTCAAACAGGAAACAGAATGAACCTCCATTCCTTACTTATGCTTCTTAGGTATTTTGTCATATCGATAAGGTGCTAGCATAGTACTTTTTTCTTATCTTCCAGTATTAGATATTTTAAAATAATACAAGTATCACTCCCAGTACTCAGATCAAGTGGATCACAGGCACATGTAACTTCAGTTTCATGGAATCTGTTGCCCACTTCTGGCTTCTAAGAATACACACACACACACACACACAGAGAGAGAGAGAGAGAGAGAGAGAGAGAGAGAGAGAGAGAGAGAGA